TTGCTGGCCGTGTCAGTTACTGGCTGAAGGGCTCCGCCCTCTTAAAACAGAGCATAAGACTGGCCAGGCCACAGGCCCAGCTCTCCTGGGAGCCTGCCCACAGTGCCCAGTGCCCGAGACCTGAGCAGACCAGGCAGCCCTGGAGCATCTGTCCTGCCTCTCAGCTTCTGGCACACACAGGAGAAGGGCACTGCCCCGCCCGCGCTGGCTAATACCCACCAGTGAGCCTGTCCTCCATGAACTTCACTAGTTCTGTTTTGAACATCCTCCCTTTAATCTTTTCCATCCCTGTGCAGAACCATTTTTGTGTGCACTGAGGCATGTGCAAATGTGCGCTCTACTAATCAGCGGGGTGGCATTTAAATCTCACTGCACAAGCACCCAGTTTTTCAGGGACTACTGATTAAGTTATTTTGTATTCTCCAATGTGCCAGTACCTCTCCCAGTTTGGTGTCCTCTGCATACTCTCTATTATCCAAACTATTAAAATATTACATAGTACCAGACCCAGAGCTGACATGTGGAACCCGACTAGATACATCCCGGAACCCGACTAGATACATCCCTCCAGATTAACAGCAAACCATTGATAACTACTTTTTGACTATTGTCTTTCAACCAGATTTGCACCAATAATAGTTTCATCCAGACTTTATTTTTCTGATTTGATTATGATGCTGTCATATGGAATTGTCAAAAGCCAAATCCCACAGCTAATAACTGTACCAAAGAAGGAAATTGAGCTCTGGACAAATCCATGCTAGATATTTCTTACAACTTTATTATTAGGGCCCTACCAAATTCACAATCCATGTTGATAAGTTTCATGGTCATAGGATTTTTAAAATCTAAAAGGTCATGGTTTCATATATTTAAATCTGAAATTTCATTGTGTTGTGACGGTTGGGTCATGAACCCAAAGGGGGTAGGAAAGAGTTGCAAGGCCATTGTTGGAGGGTTGCAGTGTTACCACCCTTGATTCTGACTGCTGCTAGGAGTGGTGCTGTCTTCAGTTTCCTGCAGCTGGGAGAGGCTCACTGAGATGGGTTTGATCCAGCTTCTCTTTGTTCCCTTTTTAAAGACGTGCTCTGTACTTGCCCTTTCGAGTCCTCGGGACTTGACTTGTTCTCCATGAGTTCTCAAAGATAATTAATGGGTTCTGAGATTGCTTCAGCTAGTGTCTTAAGTACCTACAATGAATTTCATCAGGCCCTGCCAACTTGAGTATGTCCAGCTTCCCTAAATATTCTCTAACTTGTTCTTTTCACATTTTGGTTTGCATTGCTTCCTTGCTAATATAAATGTTACTTAGTGTCTGGTGATAATGTTCCTTTTTAGTGAAGGCTGAAGGAAAACAAGCCTTCTTGATGTCTATTCAGTTTTCCTGCCCCACTAACCAGAGGACTCCTATGCTTTCTTTTGTCTCTCTCTTGCTCCATATATAAACTCCTGTTTTTCATATCCCTTGGTGTAAAGATTTTAAAGGAAACTAGGGGCTGTGCTCCCTGCTCAATATAATTGCCATCTCTCCTCTCTCTGGTGATGGGCCTGGCCTGTCCCTCCCCCCAAAACTGTTCAGAGGGCTGGACTGTAGTAGCCCAGGCTCTTCCCCTCTCCCTGGCTGCGGGGGAGAGCCCTGCTGTGTCAGCCCCTGCTCTTCTCCCTCTCCCCCCTGCCATTGGGCCAGGGCCAGGTCAGTCCCGGCTCCCCCCGCCCCCCAATCAGTGGCTGAGGAAGGCTAGTCCAAGGAGCCCCTGCTCTTCCCCCAGCTGCCGCTCTGGCTCTCACCCTCAACCTGTCTCTGGTCCAAGGAGCAGCAGCCCCGGCTCCCCCCTCCCAACCTCACCTCCCCATAGGGTTGCCAGGTTTTGAACTGGACAGTCCAGTATTTGAGCTTTCTGTTCTAGAAATAAATTGAGAAAATATAAATGCCCGGTATTTTCTAAATAAAATGTAATGCAGATTGTGATGTAATGTCAAGTGTGTCAGCTATTTTTTTTTTAAACCATCTGGCAACCTTACTCCCTCCCAACCCCCAAGCACTGGAGAGGGAGGGAGGGAGGAGGCGGAGCAGCTAAGGGTGGAGGCAGGCAGCGGGATGCAGGGTGATGTGATGATGTCACTCTCTTGTCCTTTAGGACTAGTCGACTACCGGATAAGCAAATGCTTATTGAATAGTCCAGTTGACTAGTCAATTTCCCTCCTCTTCCTCCCCCTCCCCCCTTCCTGCCTCTATCAGATAGAGGCAGCAAAGGGCGGGGGGGAAGAGAAGAGAAGGTACTTCAAAGCGGGCTTCATGCGGGGCTGCAGCTTTGTAACGCCATGGCGGCCATAGCTTGTCTTAGGACAAGTGAGCAAAATACGGGTAATATTTGTGCAGCCAGACGTTTTCCTCCAGCCCGCCATGACCCTGTGAACCAGGGCTGCTGAAAATCTTGCAGCCCAGTGGAATACTCAAATAGCATGCCTGCTATGGGCCCAGCCATGCCACTCCTGGAAGCTGCGCAGCTTGCTGCTCCTGGCAAGCGTGGTTCTGAGCACCTCATGGGGATGTGTGGTAGCAGGTCTCTATGCACTACTCTCGCCCCCATCCTCACAGCTCTTGTTCGCCGGAAACCAGCCAGTCGGAGCTGCAGAGGTGGTGCTTGTGGGCACAGGCAGCATGGTGGAGGCTCACTTCCCTCCTCCTCCTCGAGCAACCTGGAGACATATTTGCCATCAACAGGGGGCTGATTTGAGTAGCATGCGGCTACCATAGCATGCAGCCTGCCTGCCTGAGTGCCCTACTATGCCACCAGCCGGGAGCTGCCTATGGTAAGAGCTTCCCAGCCAGGGCCAAAGCCTGCATCTGGCACATCTTCCCAGGCCCTGCACCCTACACCTTTGCCCCAGGTCTGAATCCCCTCTTGCACCCAAACTCCCTCCCTGGCCCCATGCCTTTTCCATTAATGTAATAGAAAAGTGTGGCCCATGATCACTTACCAAAATTCTTAGAGTAGCCCCCTTGAAAATTACTGCCCGTCTCTGTCTTAGGGTGTTTTAATGCCTCTCATCATCATAGTATCTGAATGCCTTTCAAGAAAAATAGATTGACCATAGAAGTCACTAGCTAACTTCATGAATTATATAGCTGATTTTCCATTCAACAACTTTTTCTTGCTTCAAGAAAATGGACTGTATTCATGAAAACTGGGGCTTCTAGATCCCACTTAACTTTTGCTGGGGACAGATATAAGAGTATCATTCTCTCATGCACACAGAGTGGCAGTCCCACTGAAAGTTCATTTCTGTCCTTTTAAATTCATCTTGGTTTCTTCCCTAACACCTTATTTGACTTTGATGTTAAAAATGTCTGACCGCTGAGTTTTGTTCACCTCACTGAATTGATTATTTTATAATGCCTAGAAGCCCAAATTGAGATTTGGGAGCTGAACAAGCACATAGCAAGAGACAGTCTCTTCTCCAAGGAACTTATGGCCTTAAATAGGCAAGACAGTGAAAGGGCAGGAGGGAAATTGGGCAGCGATCTCTTACTGTTGAAGGTCACATGATAGGTGAGTGGCAGAACTGGGAATAAACTGTCTCCTCATTCCCAGTGTATACCCTCTCTAAAGTAGAATCTGAGACACACTGATTGGTCAACAATACCCATATAGCACCAGAATTCAGTAATCAGGTAGCTGCAAAGACAAAAGTACTATGATAGCAGTAAACTACTTGAAAAAAAGTTCAAAAAAGATGTGATTAGGGTAAAGAAACTGTTTCTGTGTTTTTCATATAAGATGGCTAAAAGCAGCATTTTTTTTCTTGCATAGTAAAGTTTCAAAGTTCTAAGTCAATGTTCAGCTGTAAACTTTGGAAAGAACACCCATAATGATTTGTTCAATTACTATCGCTGTTCTCGATGTGTTTATAACTCTGAGATTCTGTTGTATTAACAACACTGTGTCTTGAACATAGTTTATGAAGATTTGTTTTTATATTTTTCATAAATATAAAAATATGTAGGTCAATATAAAATTCCTTACTTTAGTCACCCTACAGTGAAACTCTATAGCATGCATAATAAGAACCTCAGCTTAAAAAAAAAAATCAAGTGCTTTTTCTAATTGGTAGGCACTTTGTTCCGAACATCACATTTGGCCACCCTGTAGTAGAGAGCCTTCGAAAGCAACTGGGTCAGGATCCTTTCTTTGGTAAGGATTTCATTTTTCCAAACTCTTGAATAATGTGTTATATTGACAGAGGAAAACACAAAACACTGGATTTGAATCCTCACCTGTGGACTGTAAGCTTAGGGCACAGCTCAGAGGGGTAACCTCAGAATCATTCTGCCACTCCCTAATCCTGGAGGTGGTTTTGTGCTGTCGTAGTTGACATTAGCCTTGCCCCTGGGACCACGAGGATGACAGGAATCCTTGGAGTGTGATTTCAACACATCCCTCTACATGTTGGGAAAGATGAGGAGGGTTGCTGTAGAAGCCAGCTATGTCAAATGAGGATTTCCCCAGATTTTCAACCCTTTCTAGAACTTGAGTAGCACAAAGGAACCATGTCCTGGCTCAGTGAATACCAAATATTTATGGCCAAACAAAATGCTTTAAAAATATGGTTTCCTTTTTAGCTAAGCTAAGTCAAAGGTAGGGATGTAAAAGGTTTGCTGGTTACCCAGTAAGCATCACCCTTATTGGGTGATGCTTACTGGGTAAATGGTTAATGGGTGGCCCAGCTAGGCTTACTGCATTGCACTGCAGGAGTGGAGGGTTACTTCAGCCCAACTGGGCCCACTGCACCGTGTGCGGGGAGAGCTGCTTCTGTTAAAGTTTAACTGGTTAACCTTTTAGACCAGATTTTACATCCTTCGAAGGAAGGAAGAATATATTCTGTGAGCTAATGTGTTTTGTTTTTTAGTACTTTAAAAAACACATTACCATGTGGCATGTCATTCTGTCAGTCATTTAATCAGTACTATTAAGGTTAACTAGAACATCCAATAATACCAGTTTTGAGCATGGATTTATATTCTGCATTTATTTTGTATGACTTAATATGCAAACAGGTAATGCTGTGGCTACTCTTGGAGCTGAGTGCATGCATTTATTGCAGATAATACACGTTAGTATATTTTGGTGCAGTGATGCGTTCCAAGTGTATCTTGCTTACCCTTGTTTCTGTTTGACTTCATACATTTAGATTTGCACATGATGGTTGCCAAGCCAGAACAGTGGGTGAAACCAATGGCTGTAGCAGGGGCAAACCAATACACCTTCCACCTAGAGGCTACAGACAATCCAGGAGCACTGATTAAAGACATTCGGGAAAATGGAATGAAGGTGAGGAGTTGGTGTGGCAAGAGCAGTGTGCGCCATTGCAGTAGCTATTTTCCTCTGTAAGATCTAGGCAGTATTGTTCTAACAAAATGAATCTGATTTGTATTTTGATGGAAATACTAGAGACAAAATGGAATCTTGCTTTCATGCGCTGGTCCATGAACCCTACTAGGGAGGTGTGGAGAAAAGGGAGGAGCACAGACCAGGCCAGCCCCCATGGGGACAGGGAGGGAGCACCGCCCTGTTGCACTCTAGCCCTAGACTAGGCCTCAGTCACAGCCCTAGCCCCAGGGGCTGTGGATAGATTACATTATAGGTGTGGGGCGGCGGAGGGGGAGGGGGGGTTGGGGTTCAATATACAAAGTTTGTTTCAATGTAGTTAGTACCTAAATTGGTCTTACAAAATATTCCAAATACTTAATCAGTAACTGTATTATGCATGTAGTAGCCAGTATCAGAGCAATGCTAACAGGTGCCAGTGCTCCAGATGCACTTTCGTTTGTTTCCCTCCTTGCCAGGTTGGCTTGGCCATCAAACCTGGAACTGTAGTTGAATACTTAGCACCATGGGCTAATCAGATAGACATGGCTTTGGTGATGACAGTGGAACCTGGATTTGGAGGGCAGAAATTCATGGAAGACATGATGCCGAAGGTAGATACTGACTGTGTTTTATTAAATGGAATTAATCCTTTCTACTTCTTACAGCAGAGGTTGCCAACCTGCAGCTTGCGAGCCACATGCAGCTCTCCAAAGAAAAAATTGTGGCTCCTGCGCTCACGGCTCTGAAAGGGGCAGCGTGTTTCTGTCTGGAAGAGACAGAGCTGGAGTTGCAGTGTCCTGTGCAGACTTCAGAATGGCTGCCTTAAAAGGGCAATGCCTGCTCTGCTCTTAAAAGGGCTGCAGCGGGGGCTCTTTTTATTTCTTGACCAAATGTGGGGGCTCTTTGTTTTGTTTTTGTTTTTTGCTCAACCACTTTTTCCCCCTTGGTTCTATTTTGGCTCTTCATCTGTAATGGGTTGGCCACCCTGTCCTACAGCTTGAGAACTGAGAGGAGATGAGATTCTGTTAACAAATATTCTTTAAACATTTAAAATGTTGGAAATGATCTACACCTGCACGGCAGCTGAATGTAAAATCAAATACTTATCTTTTGCATTTTTTTGTATGAACTCATTAGGTTCAGTGGCTGAGGACACAATTTCCTTCCTTGGATATTGAAGTGGATGGTGGTGTGGGGCCAGACACCATTCATAAATGTGCTGAGGTAAGATTTTAAAAACTGAACAGCACAGTTTGTCTTAGATAGTAATTTTGGTCATTTGCAGCACCAAGGCAGGTGATCTTTTTTTAGGTTGTCTATCAACCTATGACCCAACATATAGCACTTGTTTTTGTTTTCCTTTGCTTGGGGTAGAACCA